GGTACTGATGTGCTGCAAGGATGCGCTGCCTGCTCCTGCCCACCTTGGGGGGGGTCAGCTCTGCTGCCCCAGGCCCAAAACTACAGCAGAGGCACGGGCAGAGGCTTGGGTCAGGGACAGGGGTGGGATGTGACCCCCTTGGGTCAGGGGGGGACAACACACAGCGCTGGCAGGAGCCCAGCTCTGCAGCCTCGGGAGGGAGAGGGGAACCCCAGATTTTGGGGGGCGTTTGGGGCAGGAGCTGAGCAGCGAGTCAGTAGATGGAGGAGGGATCCATCCCTCTGCTTGCACCCGGACTTGGGGTGAGCCCTTCCCCAGGGTAAATCTCCCCCGGGGACACACACTGTTGGCATCCCGGGGGGGGGGACCGCTGGCAGCCCCAGGGGACCGCTGGCAGCCCCAGGGGACTGATGGCAGCCCCAGGGGACTGATGGCAGCCCAGCTGCCCGCTGTACCCCGAGGCTCGTCCTCACCCAGCCCAACGTCCCCCAAAGCGGCGAGGGACCCCAGGGCACCACGGCCCAAGCGCTGGGGCTGTCACCCACGGAGGTGGCCTCTGCCGGCAGCAACCCGCAGAACATGTCCCTCAGCCAGAAGCGGTTGCTCCCAAGGGAGAAGAGAGGCAGAAGGGAATTACCCGAGCTGGGGATTTGCACAGGCCCAGGAGATTTGAAATAACCATAATCTGGCCGCGAGGGTTATTTTGGCACGGCAGCACCCTCGAGAGCGACGCCAGGCTGAGCCCATCCGGGGGGCGCGGGGGCTGGAGTGGGGATTAGAGGGTGCAGAGATGCTGGGAGGCACGTACGAGCCCCACAGGGGGTGCCCCTCATCATCCCCCCCCGCCCCTAACGGCACACACGGGGTGGGCAGAGCCAGCCCGGATCTGGGGCAGCTGGAAAATGAGGAGGACGAAGCCTATTAGCAGCTCAGTGCCAGCGAAGCAGAAGCGGAGAGGGAAGCGGATTTGCGGGGGGAAGGGGGCCAGGACCTTGAGCCAGCGATGGCTATATTGGTCCTGGGTTTTTCTAAGGAGCTGCCAGGGGGGTCAGGGCCCCCCCCTGGATCCTCTGCTTGGGCCAGACCCCCGGCAGGAGAACATCCATGGCTGCAGGGATGGGGATGGTCCCTGTGCCGAGGATGTCCCTGTCTGTGGTCCCCCCACCACATCCACGCGCTGGCTGAAAGATAAGGGGAATGATTCCAAAATGTGGTCCTGGGCAGACTGGGGCACAAGTGGGCTGCACTTTTGTAGCTCAGAGGGCTCTTCTACCTGTCTGTTGGTGCTGGGGAGGATGGGGGAGCAGACGGGGGTCCCCTGTGCCCTGTGTGGGCCTTTTTGGGGTCCTCTCAGAGGCGCAAGCGTCCTTGCGGGGTCTGCGGGAAGGGCTGAGCTGCTGGTGCCTCCAGATCTTGTGCCTCAGTTTCCTCAAGCTGCCGAGCAGGGCTGCGGCTGTCACGGAGGGAGGGCCTTGGTTCGGTTCGGTTCAGCGGTGGCCGTCATTAACCACTGTGGGTTTTCCCCTTTTTTCCCCTCCGCCGCAGCCCAAATCGAAGTGATCCCGTGCAAGATCTGCGGAGACAAGTCCTCAGGGATCCACTACGGCGTTATCACCTGCGAGGGCTGCAAGGTGAGTCCAGGGACACCCGGAGCCGGGGGCTGGCGGGCGGGCGGCTGTGGGGGGCTGGCATCCCGCCGGGCGCTTTCCCAACACCTCCCCATCCCGCGCAGGGTTTTTTTCGGAGGAGCCAGCAGAACAACGCCAGCTACTCCTGCTCCCGGCAGAGGAACTGCCTGATCGACCGCACCAACCGCAACCGCTGCCAGCACTGCCGCCTGCAGAAATGCCTGGCGCTGGGCATGTCCCGCGACGGTGAGTCGTGCCCGGGGTCCCCAGGGCCTGTCCCCTCCTCCTCAGAGCGAGTTGGGCTGTCGGGGCTGAAGCTGCCCCCCCCATGGCACCAGTCTGCTGAAGGGAGGATTTTTGGGAAGCGAGAAATTTTGCATATTCAGTGGGAAAAATTTAAATTCTGTTCTGTTCGACCCAAGGTTGGTCTGGGGTTGGGGGGTGCATCCAACAGGGTCCCTGCCCTGCTCAGGGCTCATACACCCCCAAACCATGCGCCAAACCGGGACCCTTCCAGGGCAGGCGGGCGGTTGGGTGAAGGTGCCCTAACACAGGCACCCTCTCCTCCCCGGGCAGCGGTGAAGTTCGGCCGCATGTCGAAGAAGCAGCGGGACAGCCTCTACGCTGAGGTGCAGAAGCACCAGCAGAGCCAGGAGCAGAGCGGCGGCACCAAGGATGAGCCCGAACCCCTGAGCCGCGTCTACACCACCAGCGTCAGCAGCGGGCTCTCGGACCTGGACGACATCTCCACGCTGTCGGACGGGCTCCTCTTCGACTTCCCCCTCACCCCCGATGGCAGCAGCACCTACTACAACCTCGACCTGCTCGCCTCGGCGCAGCCCTCGCCCGACCAGTCCAGCCTGGACGTGGCCGATGCCACGCTCATCAAGCAGGAGTCCATCTACGAGCTGATGCTGGAGCCAGCCCTGTTCTCGCACGGCACGCTGGAGGGCGGCCAGCTGGCCGCCGATATCTCCGTCCTCGAGATCGGTGAGCACTGGCGTGGTGCTGGCGCGATGCCGGGCATGCGCGGGGCGCACAGCCCCGGGGATGGTGCTCTGTGCAGCCCCGGGTGCCTTGCAGGGTGCATCCCTGGGTGCCCACATCGTGCTGGGTGCGCTTGCAGTGAGGGACCGACCCAGCCTCAGCTCTCAGAGCAGCCCCAAACCCATCCCCTCCTCCAGGCTGAGCGCTGATGGAGCTCAGTGTACCCGAGGCTGTGCAGAGCTGACACCCCGTGTGTCCTCATATCCCTGTGACACCACACGTGAGCCCCTCCAGCCCCCCCGGGACACCCGGGAGAGGACGGCATCAGGGTGTGGGGACAGGGAGGCCAGCAGGGTTCCCAGGACTCACCGCCCGCTGCCCTCGCCTTGCAGACCGGGTGGCCCAGAACGTGGTGAAGTCGCACTTGGAGACGTGCCAGTACACGACGGAGGAGCTCAAGCGCCTGGCGTGGAGCCTCTACTCCCCCGAGGAGGTCCGCGCCTTGCAGAGCAAGGTGAGAGCACTGCCGCCACGGCCCCCCCCGGCTCCCTGCCACGGCCAGAGCTGCGGCAGCCCTCGGCAAGGGCCACCGCTGTGCCCTGGTGCTGTGCCGAGGCAGGGATGAAGGTGAGGAGGATGAGGAGGATCTTTTGGTGCTTTGGGAGCTGCAAAAGCCCAGCCCGGGGGCAGTTGTGGTGGCAGGTCACATCCCGGGTGTCCTAGTGCCACCCCCTCCGGTGGATCGCGTGGCACCTGGGTCCCTTCCCTGCCCCGTGCAGTGGGGTGGGAGGGACAGCAGAGCCAGGGTGACGGGGGGACAGCGAGCCCTAAGGGACGTCCCTGCTGTGCCGGCAGAGCTGCGAGGCCATGTGGCAGCAGTGCTCGCTGCAGATCTCCAACGCCATCCAGTACGTGGTGGAGTTCGCCAAGCGCATCGACGGCTTCATGGAGCTCTGCCAGAACGACCAGATCATCCTCCTGAAAGCCGGTAAGAGCTGGGGACCCTGCCACCCCCCCACGTCCCTGCCCGCCTCGCGTCCCCGCTGTCCCCACCGTGTCCCCAGCACCTCTCTTGAGCAGCAGCCGCGGTACCGAAGGCGTATCCCGTCTTTGCTCTCGGCTAGTGCTTTCCTTGCGGGGTCTCCCCTCCCTCACCACCCCGGTTGCTCCCAGGCTCAGCACTGGTGCTCAGGGAGCAGGTGCTGGGCTGGAAGGAGTTGAAGGTCATGTTCGATGGTATAGAGAGGGACGTGAGGAGCGGCCGCCCAGGGCGAAGGCTCTTCTCCATGGATGCCCTCAACCAAATGTCACCCAGAAACTGGGATAGAAAGGAGCAGAGTGCGTTTTCCCCCAGGAAAAGGGGTGTCAAACCCACAGGGGAGTGAGGAGGGAGAAGAGGAAAGGATGGCCTCTTCTCCCAGCAAGAGACTGGGAAGAGGAAGACAACAGCAGTGCACACCCATGTCCCCCACCCATCCATCCGCCTGAGCCAGCGACACTGTGCCCAGGCAAGGGAGCTGGATGTGCAAAAGCCCCAAAATGCCAAAAAAAGCTGGAAAAGCCTCCCAGCTTCTAAACTTTTAGGGCTGGGAAGCTGAGAGCCTCACCCAGCACAGGGGATGTGTGCCAGCATCCCGGCAGGGTGCTGTACCCCGAAGCCGAAGCTCGCCGTGCCTGATATGCTGGAGTTTAACTCATTCTTTCATTTCTTCCTTCCGCTTTCTTTTTATTTATTTTGTTTTCACCCTGTCCTCTCTTGGTGCTCTGCCATGACTTTGATCAACCTCTTTCTGGCTGCGAACGCCTGGATAATATTTGCCTGTGGTGAAATATTGTGGTCACAATTGGAAACCTAAAAAAAACAACCCCCAAACCCCAAATTGGATTTACTGGGATAACCATTCTGTTCTTGGGAATGAACAATCTGGACTTCAAACTTGCACTGGGGGCTTTCCTCTTCCTTACATGTGGTCCTGGGATCACGCCTGCCTGCCCTCGTCTGCGCTCTCTCTGCCTACGTCAGGTTGCCTCGAGGTGCTCCTGATCCGCATGATCCGCGCGTTCAACCCCTTGAACAACACCGTCCTCTTCGAGGGGAAGTTTGGCGGCATGCAGATGTTCAAGTCGCTCGGTAAGAGCCGCCTCGCTGCGCCTCTCTCAGGGCTCTCCTCTCCTTTCGACACCCAGACGGGGCTGGGGTTTTGCAGCCGGGTGAAACGCAGCATCCCTGTGCCTGGGCTAAATCCCCGGGGGACAGGAGGGGGTGAGACCCCCCCCAACTGCCGTTGGGATTGGGTTGATGTGTGCCGCGGTCAGGACCTGCTTTCCACCCCGGCCCAGAGCCCGGTGATGCCGGGCATCCTCTGGTGAGGACCCCCCCGTCACACCCATCTCATCTCCCCAAAGCTTTCCAAGCCCTGGGTGCTGCTGGGGTTGGCTGGCGGGTGGGAGTGTGGGGGTGCCGCGGGGCAGCGCGGAGCTGTGACGCCCCCCGCCCCCCTTCCCCGCTGTCCCCGTGTCAGGCTGCGACGACCTCATCGGCGCCATCTTCGAGCTGGGGAGGACCCTGTGCCGCCTGCAGCTGTCGGACGAGGAGCTCGCCCTCTTCACCGCCGCCGTCCTGCTCTCCCCAGGTACTGTGGGGTCCCCCCCCCAGCCAGGACCCAGTGGGGAGAGGGGGTCTTGTCCCAAAGCTGGGGACACCTCACCCTTAAGCCTCAGCGCTGCTTCCTTGGTGGATTAATTCAGTTATTCCTGAGAAAGGAGGTCGAGGGAAAAAAAAATGCTTCTGAAAATGTGCAGAATGTATCTGCTGAAACTCCTGGGTGGGAGGCGGAACCATGTCCCCCTGAAATAAATTTAGTTAAGAGCGCAAAGCACAAGCAAAGCTTTCATACATCACGGCTTAGTCTTAGTAATTGTCAGAAATTCGTTTGAGCCCTTTCGTTCCCTTTCACCCCGCAGCAGGGTGGGGGGTGGAGAGGGGCTGCCTGGCTGTGCCGCTCTTCCGAAAAGCTCCTGGAGAGCGGGAAGGGTTCAGAGAGCAAGAGGCCACTGCACCGTGCTGGGCCACGGCCGCACTGACCCAGCCACCTCCTGCAGATCGCCCGTGGCTGACAGAGTCCAAGAAAGTGCAGAAGCTCCAGGACAAGATCTACGTGGCCCTGCAGCACGAGATCCAGAAGAAACACTCCACTGAGGACAAGCTCTCCAAGGTAGCGGAGCTGCCCGCGAGGCCGGCTGGGGCTGGCGCGTGTCCCGCGGGGAGGTCTCTGAGCTGGTGGATGCGGCTGTGCCGGAGCTCCTTAGCCACGCACGGGCGCTTCTCGGGGGGTGATCCCTGGGACCTGTTGAAGAAGATTTTCTCTCTCCAAGGCCCCAGCATCTCCATCATGGTACAGGCAGAGGCAGCCGCGCTGGAGGCAGCCCCGTGGCGCTGAGCCCGGCCGTGCTTGTTTGGGGCGAAAGGAGCCTTTTGGGAAGGCTTTGGGTAGAACAGAGCTGGGCTGGGGGGCACTGGGGGCTCCTTGTGCCATCCCAGGCGCTGGCTGTCCTGTGGAAAGACGTGAGTTTGGAAGCAAGGCCAATGCCCCTGGCCCCGGGCAGAGTCAGTGGTCCCCAAACCCACGCCCTTGTCCCCAAGGAAGGGGAACAGCGGCATGGGGGATGCTACCCAGTGGCCACCAGCTCCTTCTTTCCCTGCAGATGGTTTCCAAGGTGCCCTTGATGAAGACCATTTGCAATCTGCACTTGGACAAGCTGGAATTTTTCCGTCTCCTGCACCCGGAGACTGCCATGAACTTCCCACCCCTCTATAAGGAGGTCTTCAACTCCGAGCTCCAGTACAGCGACCCACGGGAGAGCTAAGGCTGGGAGCCACCGGCCCCCTTCGAGTTCCCCAAAAATTTGGAGATGAACTAAACTTCAGAGGTTTGGGGCAGTTTATTTAAAATCAAATAATCAAACTCAAGAGAACCCAGGGGGCTGGGGTATCTCCCTGGCCCCATTTCCTCGCTGTGGATTGCAATAGCTCTTGAATGTAAAGCACCTTGAAGGAAAAAGCAAACGGACTTTGCCATACCAGTGAAATGAATGTGAAATCTTCGCTCGGGAGAGGAGATGCTCCAGGCAGTGGTAAGGGACCGACTCCTCTCCGCAGCGCACGGATCCAGGGGAGCGCACGCCACGCACACGCCGCCGTGCTTGCGGCACGTTCCTTCCTGCTGTCCTGGCTGCGCTCTCCGTCTCTGTGGGTTTTTTTTGTTTTTGTTTTTTTTTTTTTTAACCCAAACACAAGGCATGGGATAAAGAAGGGGCAATGCAGACTCGGCCAGATAGCGGTGAGCCAGGCCCGTGGGAGCAGCTCTGGGCTCCCAGCTGGAGCCAAGGAGAGGGCAGAGGCAGAGCCTTTGCTTTATTCTTTCTCTTGTGGGTGCAGCGAGCCCACTGGGCACGGGATGACCTCGGGAGCTTGGCCAAGAAAGACCTGGGGGGGGGATTCAGCAGAGGATTTTCCCATGGAGGAGGCTGGCTTGAGGGAGAGGATGCCCAGTGCAGCAGGGGAAGAGCTTTGCAGGGTCTCCGTGCCCTCCGTCACAGCATTTTCCCAAATGCCCGGCTAAGTCCCCATCCAGCCGGTTGACCACGGCTTTGCGGAGCCTCGTGGCACCTTTCCGCATCCCGGGCGCTTTTCAAAGAGGGGCAATGCCCTTGTGACTGTGGCCAAATCCCAGCTCCTGGCTGCTCCCCGGCGGAGGCGGCCGCAGGCTGGTGGTGCAGGCGCTGGGGCTGGGTGCCTGTCCCCGCGCGTCGCCGCAGGCAGTGGCCCTTTGGGTGCTGGCTGTTGTGTGTAGTTTTCTTACTGAGACCGTTAAAACCGCCCCGTGGCTCAGCACCCAGAGGAGGTTTTGCGGCCTTTCCTCTGACCAACCCCCAGCCTCTTCCACTGCTGGGTCCCCCCCTTCCTGTGCCAGGACCACCGGCAGCACGGCCATGGCTACTGTTGAGTTGGACGCGGGTTTTTCGCCCCCAAGGAGCTCTTTAGAACTGTTAGTTTGGGGTTTGTTCTCTATTTAGCAGCATCCAGGAGCTTTCTAGGGAGAGAAACTGCCCATTGGGGTCAAGGGAAAGCGAAAGGTCCTTCTTCCTTCCCTGGGAAGTCGCAGCGTGGTCAGGACCCGCTGCTCCAAGCTTGGGAGGTTTAAAAGGGCCAAGAAGGGATGGATTTGTGGGGCGATGTTGCAAAAACCCACAGCTGGCGAGGTTGCTTGAAGGACTCTGGCCAGGCTCCTCTGCAGATTTTTTTTTTTTTCCATCCCTATTCCTTCTCCTCCTGTGACGAATGCAAAAAGCCATTCGAAAGGGAAAAAGCCGTTCTGAGGCAGCCCCAGTTTCTGCTGACAAAGGGCTAAAATCCCAAGCCCCTTCCCACTTCGTGTTGGTTTCTCTTGTGCCCAACCCCGTCCTCCAGCAGCTCGGATCGTCTCTGAGCATGAGCTGAAGACCTTCAGTTTGATCGTTGAACCCCTTAAACTAAACGAGCAGCTTTCTTAGCAATGGTAGGGGATATTCATGCTTTCAGTTAAAACAGACCTCCTAAGGAAGACTACGGACCAGCCTCGACCAGGGAAGACTCACCAGGAAGCCGACGGGATTTCTGCTTCAGTGTAAGGCAGAGAAAAACTCGGGACTGTGTTATTCCCCGGCAGCTACCGTCCGCCACGTCCAGCCGTGTGCTTTCTGGTTTTGCTAAACCACCATCTGAACTGCTTCTCGGAGCGCATCGGAGTTCGTCAGCCTTGTTTCTCTCCCCGACGGCGTTAGAGCCCAGGTCTCTGGGGAAGGCTGCTGCCCCTCCCAGCGGCCCCGCTCGATGTTGAGTGCCAATGCGTCGTTCTCCAGCGCAGCGTTCACCAGGGTGGGGACGCGCTGTGCTTGTTTTCCTGCCCTCTCGTATCCTAAAGCTTGTGAGAAGTGAGAAGTCAGTACTGCCTTTTTCATTTAGAGGGTTGTGCCTTTTTTTTTTTTTGAAGAATCATTTCCAACAGCGCCGTTCGCTTCCCGGCTCCTCTTTGCAGGGAAAAGCACTTGAGAAAATGAATGTGCTTTGCGGAGGGGGCTCTCGCCCTCCGTTTCTGCAGGACAGCAGCACTCCCTTTCTCAGAGGAAACAGCCACAGCTGTTTTGAAATGTTTGGGGGGAAAAAAAAAAAAAAAAAAGCACACACCCTTCTTTATGTCCTTGGTATTTGTCAGCCAATGTGGTCACTGTCACCGTTTTCATTTCATCCGGCAAAGAAACCAAGAAAGCACCTTAAATCAGGAAAAGACTGAGCCCTCACCACCAGTTGCGTTTTTCTGGCTTAGGACACAGCGTCCATCTCATGGGAGAGATTTTGGATTCTGAGCAATAAAAGCCCCCGTGGGAATCTAGGGAAGACTGGAAGTATTAAACATGTAAACCAACCTGCCAAACTGCGGGAACCTGCACTTTTAAAGTTCTCTTTAAAGGAACCGACTTGTTGATTAAACGATTTCTTGCCTGGGACGGGCGGCGCGCATCGAAAGGGATGGCAAGGGCGCGCCAACCCCCCCCGCGCCACCTCTGCTGGCTGCAGCCTCCGCTTGCGGCTCGACCGGCCGCGTGGGGCCGCGGTGGCAGTGCCAAGGTCCCTCACGCTCCCTCTGTGCCACCAAGAGCAGCGGCTCGGCAGAGCCAGGCATCGAGCTTGTAGGGAAAGGGCGAACAAAAAAGCCTGGGTAGAAAAAAAAAAGGGAGATTTCTGCTCTCCCCTGTGCCAGAGCTGCGTGTGGCCGGCGGAGATGATGCACAGGAGCCCCGAGACCCCCGACTTGCTCTGATGCTTGGGCCTCAGCGTCTCAAAGACGTTTCCATCCCCCTGGCCACGAGACATTTTGCCACTTTAGTTTCAAACAGACCTCGGCAGCGGTTCCCTCGAGCAGGGCAACCTCAGCCACGAGGGATTGCTCATTCCAGACCAAGATTTTGTGTTTGTTTGTTTGTTTGCTCTGGCAGTTTAGCTGAGTGTGCATTTCCACCTCCAGAACCCTCACACTGTGTATAAAAATGGATAAAATATATATAATATATATTCTTGTGAATGTTGGTGCAAAAGAGAAAAATATATAAAGTTTCAGTTGGTTTTATGTTATTTTTTATCTATATGAATGAAAGAAAGAAATGGAAAACATTTTTTTTCCATTTACCACCCTCCACACACACCTACCTGTAGATATCGACAGGTTTTATGGAAATGTTTTACTTTTTAGATTTAGGAACATGCTTCTGTTCTCATTGAATGTTCTGTCTTGTAAGACTGTAATTTCTATTTTTTTAAAGAAAAGAAAATAACTAAATAAAATTTCCTCTTTTGGACCAGTCAGCTAGGAAGGGAGGGCAGGGGAGGGAGAAATGTTTATTTAAGGACAAAAACATTGTCTGAATTTTTCATGACATTAAATAAAAAGTAATATAATGTATGGATGAAAAACTTTTTATTGAGGTGTATTCTATAGGCATATAGATGTATATTGCACAGAATCTACAGGGAGAAAAATAAAGTCTGTTTTACAAGGTAAAAAAAAAAACTACAATAATGTTGGAAATAGTGACTGTGATTCCAAATTTCAGCAAAGGGTGGGACTGGAAGCAAAGCCCTCAAAGTCACAGAAAAACTTTTCGTTTCTTCAGCGGGGTCAGAACCAAGCTGGACCAGAAGCCCCGATCCGGTGCAGGATGTGGACACGAAGCTGGATTTCAGATATTCTGAGGTATTACCGAGTCACTTAGAGCTGGGCACGCGCTGGGAAGGATCCCGAGATCTGGGGAGGGGTTTCAACAGGGAAACCTCCGTTCAAAGACCATCGAGGGGAGGACAGTGACCGCAGCTGGCAGTACTAGGGACACATTTCGGGACAGGGGGTATGTGGAGTCGTTTTCAAGCAGCACCCAGTCCTAGGAGGGAAGGAGGAAGGAAGAAGGAACAGGACTCCTCTCCATCAGGATGCAGATGGCTGGAAGGTATCACTGGGTATCAAGTGTGCAAATCTCATCCTCATTCCCCCCTTCCGCTTCCCCTGGAAACCTCACCCCTGCGCATCGTGCTCCCTGTGCAAATCCAGAGCAGTTGTGGCCCTCGGCAGTGGCCGGGAGCTGTGGAGCGGAGCAGGATAATGAAAAAAGAACCTTGTAGCAGCAAGGTCAGTAAATCCCAGGGTCTCCCTGAATTCACCGACTCCCCATCCACTCCCGTCTGCCCTTCCCAGGAGGCGGCACGCGTCCTCCTTCACAGTTCCCACCTGCAGAGTTTAGATATTGTAGGATAAAACCTGGCTGCTAGCGAGAGGCAGCGACAGCCAGAAACACTGCGTGGCTCGTGGGGACACGGGGAAAGGGTTATCACCCCGTCGGGGGGTGGAGGGAGGGGAGTTGGGGTGACGGGACTGAGGGAGCACGCAGGGACCAGCTGGAGCTGCGGCGGCGATGTGGGTGCAGCAGCCCACGGCCCCGCCAAGTTACCGCACACTGGCACGTTTATTTGGTTTTCCTTTTTAAAAATGTCTTTTTTTTTTTTTCAAAAAAAAAATTATGTTGGTGCTTGTTTGTTTTTGTTTTTTGTTTGTTTGTTTTTGTTTTTTTTTTTTAATAGCTAAATTAAAGCATGGGAAATTCCTTTAAAAATTCCTTGCAAAGACCTAGTCTTGAAACAAAAGACGTTTATGAAAAATTGCCTTTCGGTTCCAGGGAGATGCTGGGAATTGCCGAGAGGGGTGTTAACACCCGCAGGCGGTGGGAGCCAGCCCAGGGCGGGTCCAAGCAGCCCCTGGAAGCCCAAACACCTCCAGCAAGAGGCGGCCGGACCCCC